CTACAACAATGTCCTCAGCAAAAGCAGTTAATAATATCAGCAGGTGTGCCAATATCAAGCAATAGTAATACAACAGTTAATATTTCAACGACTTCCCACAGTCACGCGAAAACGGCTGAACAGTCAGGTATTTTATATATTTAGTAATTGTTCAGCCTTTTTTTTTGGCATTTCTCTCTTTTTATATTTAATGTTTTTGTGTTGTTTTCGATGAAAAACATGTTTTAATATTTAAAACATGTTGGGAATGTTTTGGCGTTAATTAAATTAAACTTGTTTGCTTCTTTAAAATAAACATTCTCTTCGTCTAGGTGTTGCATCGAAAAACTATCAAATTTTTAAAAATTCGTAGCTCTGCCAAATTTTACGATTTTTTAACAAAATTTTTCTATTTTTCAGAGGAACTTCATTGAGATTTCTTTTAAAAACATCGGATAATTCAAAATTCCTTATCCCGAATTATCCCCATTTTCTACAGACAAGGAAATCTTTTAACTTCTTAAAAAATCTTTTTTAATTAATAAAATTACAAAAATAGTTTTAAGAAGCCACACCTTTAAAAATTCTTTTTTCTTGTCACATCATTTTTCTTTAATATTTAATTATATTTACATTTATGGTATAATAATAAGCACTTTTTGCTATAAATATTAGATTGTTAGTATATTTTAGGAATTATTTATTAATTCTCGTCAGTATAATAAATTGACAAACATTATTATGTATAAGCTAATAAAAAATATATTTATTGGGGGTATTTAATTGAGATTGGACTAAATTAGTGGGGAAAAAATTAATGTTTATTACAATTTAAATTAAAAAGGTTAAAACATCAAAATGTGTTTTTAGCATGTTTTTCCGGAAGGGGCATGTTTGGATATTACGTTTTGTTTTGTTAAAGTTTACAAACTTTGTTTTATAGAAAATGTTTAATGTTTTTCTGAACTTTTATATATGTCTAACATGTTTTCCGGAATTATTTTATCTGTTTCGCAACATGTTTTTCCGGAACATGTTTTTCGGAATTAAAATTATAATTTTTAAGGCACTCCAATTCGAAAATTATTTGTACCAGAATATCACTGTGAAAACTACGACCATTTCCAACCTCAACAATTAGGGGAAGTTGCTAGAAGCCCGAATCACCAAAATAATAATTTTGTGATTAATTGTCATCAAAATATTAATCACCAACAAAACGAGGATAATTGCAATAATAATAATAATACAATGCCTTTCTTTCCGAGGAGAACAAATCCAGCAGTAGCGCTGTCTGCTGCTGAGCATAGAAGGGCTATTTCAAATATTGAAGTACAAGGGACAGCTTATAATATTCGAGACAGGTAGGAAAATTGAAGAAAATATTTAATTTATTTATTTTTTAAGGTATGAGTTTAAAGATTTACTCGGAACTGGCGCCTTCTCTAAAGTTTTCCTTGCGGAATGTCGCTTTGAACCTGGTACTTTTGTTGCAATTAAATGCATTGACAAAAAGGCATTAAAAGGAAAGGAAGATTCATTAGAAAATGAAATTCGAGTGCTAAAAAAGTAAATATAAACTTTGTTTTCCGGAAAATATTTACTTCCCGAATATTTAAATATGTTTTTCCGGAAAGTATCTTTATTTAGCGTGTTTTTCTGGGGAGTGTGTTTTTATAGAACTTGTTTTTCCGGAAGTTGGTTTATTTAAACTTGTTTTGATGGAAACAAACATTCTAGAAAAATGTTTTTCAGAAAAACATTAAATAAACTTGTTTTCCGGAATGTTTTTAATCTTGTTTTTCCCTATTTCTAAAACTTGTTTTTAAGATTACGTCACAACAACATTGTTCAACTTTATGATACTTTTGATGAGAAACATTATGTTTATTTGGTGATGGAATTAGTAACAGGAGGCGAACTTTTTGATCGGATTGTTGCCAAAGGCTCTTATACAGAAAGGGATGCTTCCAATCTCATTAGACAGGTACTACATTTAAATTCTTTTTTTCTTAACAACATTTTAAAAATGTTAGACCAATTAAAATATATTAAAGTACAAAAAGTATTCGCGTGTTTAAAATTCAAATTGTGCTTTAAAGTCTGGTTTAGCTTTAAAGTCTGGTTACTTTTTTTTAAAAATTTCCTTTTATTTTATGTTAACTATATTTATTAATAACTATTTTTGTACCGGAATTTTTTCGTTACCTCACAATTGCGTCAATGTTGTCAGTCTAAACTATAAAAAAATTTCCAATCTTTTTTTCGATATTTAAAATTATTTTTAAAAAGTCTATTAACGTAAATACTAAAACAGTAAAGATTAAAAAAATTTCCAATGGGATTATAAAATTGTGGACACGAAAAAGCGGACGTAAAAGATATTTGCGGATATTATTTACGGATTAAAACTTATTTGTAATAAATTAAACTTTAAACAACTTTACGGGGAACAACACAAGTTTAAACTTAAACTTAAAAGAAAAACAAGTTTGAACTTAAAACTTGTTTTTTTCTTTAAACTTTAATTTAAACTTGTGTTTTTCCGGAAAGTTTCTATCGCAAAAGACTGTCAACTTTGAAGCAAAAAACTTTCCGGAAAAACAAACTCTTAACAGAATATACTATTTCCATTTCTATCCGCAAAAGACTGTCCGCAAGTTTACCACTCATTTAAAAAATAATCCTTAAAATTTTTTATCCTTTCCTTATTTTTTGTTTAATCTCCATTTAAATAAAATAAAAACAGAAAAATCGCGCGGTTTTCTTTTACCATTTTTTAGCTTTATATTTTTGTTTGACGCAAATTGAAACTAAATAAATAAAAATAATATTTTAAAATATTATTTTTCTCTTTTTTTTGATATTAAACCAAAAAGGGTTTCATTGAAAAAGGAAATTGTAATTAAATAAAAAAATAAATAAATATATTTTTATCTAAATGATAAATATAATTAACTAAAAATGGAATTGAAAATAAAAAATAATTTTGGAAAATTAAATAGTTGGAAGGAGATAAACTTTGTAGGGCTGAAATAATTATATTTTATAATGAGGTGTACCTTAAATGGAGGTTTTCTTGGTCGCCCTCTCTTGGTCGCCCTCTTTGTGGTTAAACCAAATTAAGAAAAAAGTGAGATCTTAAATTAAAGTTAGAGTTGAGTGTTCTTAGATGTAGTGAGATCTAACAGGATATAGGTCTTTAGAGCATTTTTAAATAAAAATTGAAATAAAAAGATTTTATTTTCAGGTACTTGAAGCAGTTTCATTCATGCACGACAACGGTGTAGTCCATCGCGACTTGAAACCAGAAAACCTACTCTATTTTAACCAAGACGATGATTCCAAAATTATGATCTCAGATTTTGGCCTTTCAAAAACTGAGGAGTCCGGAATTATGGCGACAGCTTGTGGGACACCGGGGTATGTGGCACCCGAAGTTCTTCAGCAGAAACCTTATGGAAAAGCTGTGGATGTTTGGTCTATTGGTGAGTTTTGGCAGGAAATTTATTTTTTAAAAAATCATTCAGGAGTAATCGCCTACATCCTTCTCTGTGGTTATCCACCATTTTACGACGAAAACGACGCTAATTTATTTGCCCAAATAATTAAAGGGGAATATGAATTCGATTCCCCATATTGGGACGAAATTAGCGATTCAGCAAAAGATTTTATTTCTCATCTAATGTGTTGCTCTCCTGAACAGAGGTATTCCTGTGAGCAAGCATTAGCACATCCTTGGATTAGTGGAAACACAGCTAGAACAAAAGACATTCACGGAACTGTAGCAACACATTTAAAAAGGAGTTTGGCGAAAAGGTAGAAATTATTAATTTTACAAACTTAGAAACTTAAGTTTGGCTTCTTAATAAAATATTACAACTTGAAGCAAAAACAAAGTTTTATTTTTAAGCTGTTTCAAGTTTTATTTTTTAGAAAAAGTGTTGAGAAAAGTTTTAATTCAAGTTTGAATACAATTCAAGCTTTATTATAACAAATTGTAAAAGTTTAAAGTATTTTATTTTGCTTCAAGTTGTATTCTTAATAAAACTTGAAGCAACCTTTTCTATTAAAACTAAAACTTTATTTTGTTTCAATTTTTTCTTTAAGAAAATGGCGCAAGGCATACAACGCTACAGCAGCAATTCGACAGCTACAAATGTTACGGCTTTCATCGGCACGTTATTTGCAACAGAATCCAGGCAAGAAAGCTATGGCAACAACAACACTAACTGCAAATCATTAATTTTTAATTAAAAGTATTTTTTTCTGCCGCCAATTCCAAGCAATTAAAACAAAAAAATCTCTTTATTTTTACAAAAATTAGCACATAAAATTTTAGCGAAAAAATATTCTATTTACCCTAAGTATTCTATATATTTACATATTTTAATATTTTTATTTTAACAATCCCAATTTTTATTTAATTCAATCATCTCTAACTTACAGCTTTTTAAACCAACCTGTGAACCTATGCGTTTAAAAAGCTGTAAAAAAACTTTATAATCTTTTTTCACCCCCATAATTATTTTTAAATATCAGATGTTTTTCTCTGTTATTTTTTCGATAATTTTTCTGTTACCGCTTTATATTCTTAAATTTATATCAGCTTTTATTTTTATATTTTTTAATAAAAATTATTAGATTTTTTTCAATTTTGTTTTAAATTTAAAAATACATTAACATTTAATATTCAAAGAAAATTATTTAAAATTCTAAGCGGAAATAGAATTTCGACCAAGGAAATTCTGAAGTTTCGATTTTATTCTAAAAAATTACATTTTTAAAATTTACGGTTAACTCAACCCACACCTGGTATAAAAAATAGTGGAGGTATAAATATATTATTATAACTAAATTCGACTTTAACTTATTAGTAGAGTTGGTCGCGGTTTACCCACCAGTTAAGAAAGAATTCCCACATAAAATTCCCCCAAGAAATTAAAAGTCTTTCGAGATGTGCTTAGACAGGAGATTTTATAAAGAATGTGTTTTATTAGGAATTTTAGGTTAGTATAAAAGCGCCTTAATAAATTATGCATAAACCAACACTACAACTCACTGCACTTCGTGACGACAACGCTGTGCTCAATTCAACTAAAGGCCGCTTTTGGTTCGTCGCTGTGCTGCTCACTCTTGCTTTGGCGTCTCAGTACAATGGCCGAGAAACGAGGATGTATCATACAAGGGTTGTCTCCTAAACTAACTTTTTTTCTTTTTCAGCTAAGAAGTACATTCATGAGCATGAGGATACCATCGAGATCCAAGACTCGGACATGGGACTGACGTTCTTCAGTGGGAGCTCGCCGCCGCGGATACAGAAGATCGACATCTTCTCCTACTTCTTTGGATGGTTGTTCCCTGGAGACTGGATCTTGCAGATTGACAAACGGGTAAGCTTCTGCGATTATTAGGGTAATACTCGGTTTAAACGTCCATTTTTCAGCCCATAAACTCGGCAGAAGACTTCACGGCAGCAACCCAGTATTCTGGCGCTGAACCCAAACCTTTGTTCATCCGTTTCCGCAGGGACGACTACTTCAGAATGATCAACCTCAAGGTCACACAAATCAGGCGAAACCCGAGCCACAATTTCATCCAGCTGCAGATCAGATGGCGAGAAGATCTTCCAATTGGGATAATTGTGGAGAAGAAGGTAATTGACTGAGTAATGAGGGCTTGTCATTAATAATAGCTTTCAATTCCAGGGATCTAATATCATCGTCTCGTACATTGAGCCAGGCAGTGTAGCTGCGCAGTACATCCTTCCAGGCGACATATTGCGGGATGTTAACGGCAAGGAAGTGAAAGACGACGTCTCTGGAGCTAAAAAGGTGTTATTTTTACAAGTAATTTTGTAAACAATTTTCAATCATTTAATTTACAGGCTATCCGACAGAGTATCACTGAAAAGAAAAATGTGGTACTCAAGCTCGAACGGGATGCCCCTCCACTGAAGCTGATCTCGACCGCAGCCGAGGACGTGTGTGAAATACTTACGCGCGCTAAAGGCTTCTGGAATAAGCGGTGTAAGCTCATTCCAATTGAGGAGGAAGAACCACGGAAGCCGAAGAGAGGTACTCGAATAAGTGAAAAGGAGTCTTTGGGTAATTCTTTAATTTTCAGTATATCACGTGCCTGACGTTGAGTCCGAGCCATTTCCGGTTGATGATACGGGAAAGAAACTGGTTGCAACACCGAGTCGGGATGGTGGGACGCGCACTGAAGAACCGGTGGAGACGGCCGAGGAGGAACCTGCCACAGAGGGGGAAGAATTCTAAAGAGATAAAAATGAACTGAATATAATATCTAAACTCATATTTTCCTTTGTTGTTATCTTGCATTCATTTATATGTTGCATATTTCCTAAATTTCCTTGTGTGTAATATGTACATATGTCTCATAATATATTCTATTAGATTTGTTGTAAATTTGTTTTGTATGTAAATTTGATTTTCGAATAATTTTTTGTTCCTCGTTGGGGAAGCTTTTTGTGACAATGCAAGGGAAAAAGATAAACGGGCACAACTTTGTTCACTTAAGACAGTTTTCGTTGATTTTAATGTCAATTGACGAAGGAAAATTAGGAAAAATAGAAAGGAAAAAAGTGGGGGCAACTTCCAAACTTACCCCCTATATGGACTCGAACCTAACTTCGCCAAACGATCAAAAAAAATAAAAAAAATCACTAAAAAATCACTTATTTGTAGGAAAGAAATATCTACCTATATGTATTTTCAACTTTTCTATTTTGAGAAAAATATGTCGATAACAGGTATTTTGGTAACAAAAATCTTCGAAAATTCCCAAAAGAGTTCATCTTTAGAGGTGTATGTTTTAACCCTGACCTCGATTCGGGGTTTTGGATCGGGGTTTGTCGTGTTGGAGCCTTCGAAATTCGGGTCGGGGGTTTTGCCAAAAAAAATTCGTCGGGGTTTCGGAGGTCGGGGGGTTGTTACTTTAATTTTAATTAAAGCCCAAATGTATTCAAAATTTTAAAGGACACAAAAACTGATTAATCTTCATTTACATCAAATAAAGGCGATTTAAATTTAGTCAAAATTTCCCAATTAATTTCTTTAAAAAATTCATTTTCTTTAATTTTCAGTCCATTAATTCTTTTATTTTTATTTAAAATTAAAATTTGTTCAATTAAATATTTTGCTTCTTCTGAAGGGAAATTTGAAGGAAATTTAAAATTTAATTTTAATATTTGCTGAAATAAAAGAAATTCTGTTTCTCCATTAAATGGACGTTGACCAGATAATAATTCGAATAAAATTATTCCAAAAGACCTTTTTTTTAAATTAAATTTAAAGAGAAAAAAGGAAATACTCTGTTCCAAAATCATAACCGCAACCCTATTTTTCTCAATATTTCATGTCCCAATCAATTCTTCTAAAAAATGTGTTTTTAATTTATTTATTTATTCAAGAATAAAAATGACAATGAAAGGGATGGACACTTACATCATTGTCTTAGTAAAATATATGATATTTGGTCAATAATAATAAATTAACTGGATAGTCAACAAAAATAATCATAATAAAACGGATATTGGTATACACAGATACATAAATAAGTTAATTGTCAAATTGCACTGGAGAGAAATGAACTGCGTTACGTTTCACACCAGGCATGCAAGTCTGAAAAAACAGCAAAAATAAATTATAGAAAATTTGATTGTAAGATTATTTAGCCTAGATGTGTATCTGTGTATTAATTTAATAAAGGCATATATAAAAATAAACCTGAAAAAACAGCAAAAATAAATTATAGAAAATTTGATTTTAAGATTATTTTAGTCTAAAAAAAATAAGAAAATTAAAATTAAAATCAAAAACTAAGAAATATATATAAAAAAAATAAGCACAACTGCATAAGAAATAAATCGATTTGGCCACTTAGACACAAAGCCCATTTAGACGCAAAAAAATAAAAATGTATTAATCTGACAATTTAGGCGCGAAATAAAAATGAATTATTTGACCATTTAGACGCAAGACCTATTGACGAAAAAGGTATCGTAATTTGTCCACTTAGACGCAAAAATAAAATAATTTAATTTAAACATTTAGACGGGAAATAAAAATAAATTAATTGACCATTTAGACGCGAAAATAAAAATAAATTAATTGACCATATAGACGCAAGCCCACTTGAAAATATAAGGTAACTTAATTTGGCCACTTAGACGCAAAGCCCATTTAAACGAAAAATACAGTTTTTAACTTTGGATTTTTTAGAAAGCCTGGATGAGTTTAATTAATTTTTTTAAGAACACTCAGTTTATTTATACAATAAGTATTGACTTAAGCTTATTTTTAAAATCTAAGGGTGATTTACTTAAAATAGTATTTTTACCTAGTATATTCCACATTTTAGTTGTTCTATTTATAAATGACCTAGAACTTTTGAAATTTTGTTTTTTTGAAATAATTCTATGAGAGGAATGACTAGATTTTCTAATAGGATGAGAAAAGAGTGTTTCAAGTCCCAAGTGAGAATACCCATTAACTATTTTGTACATAAGCATTAAATCAAAAATTTTACGTCTATTCTCTAGTGTTTGAAGGTTAAGATATTCTAACCTATTCGCATAAGGTAATTCAGGTAAATTACATTTCTTAAAAACTATTTTAGTAAAAAATTTTTGGCATTTTTCAAGAGAATTAATATCTGTTTTATAAAGAGTGTTCCAAGATTCTGGTGCGTATTCAAGCATAGGCCTAATATAACTCTTATATATCAGTATCCAAGTTGATGTTTTTCTTGACTTTATTACTCTAAATATTGTTTTCATCCTTAGATAGGCGTTGCGAATAATTATATTAATGTGTTCTTTAAACCTAAGCTTGTCGTCTATGATTATTCCAAGGTCGCGAATAGATTGAACTTCATTTATAGTATTATTAAAAATCTTATATTGATCCCTTGGGTTATTTTTACCTAAATGAAGTACGAATGTCTTATCAACTGATATATCTAAATTCCATTTTTTTGACCATTCCTCGACGTTTTTAAGGGCAACTGCTAGTTCTAATCTTTCATTTTTAGTCTTATAAACTTTATAGATTTTAACGTCATCAGCAAATAGTTTAATTTTGACTCCGTTTGGAATAACGTCGGATAAGTCATTTATATAGATTAGAAACATCAGTGGGCCAATAATGGATCCTTGGGGAACACCCGTGGTAATTCCATATGGGTTTGATAAAACATCATTAATTTTTACTTGATATGTTCTATCTGATAAAAATTCACTAATCCACCTATGTAGTTTTCCCCTAATTCCACAAGCATATAATTTGTCAAGAAGGAGTTTGTGAGGAACACTATCGAAAGCTTTACAAAAATCAATATAAATACAATCTATATTCTTTTTTTCAAATAAGGCTTCGTACCAATCCTCCAAGCTACTTACTAGCTGAAGAGTAGTGGATCTTCTTCGAATAAATCCAAATTGATCCGAACTAAAGAACTTTTTATTCTCTAAGAAATTTATTATATTTTTTACAAGTATTTTTTCCATGATTCTGCAACTACAGCAAGTAAGTGAAATTGGACGATAATTTAATGGATTAGATTTTTCGCCTTTTTTGAAAATGGGAATAACTAATGATTTTTTCCATATGTCAGGTATAATGCCTTCATCCAATGAAGCTCTAAATAATTCAGATAAATAAGGTGCCAATATTATGCCTATATTTTTTAACATAAGATAATTTATGCCATCCGGGCTAGCGCTGTTTTTTGATGGTAGGGCTTTTAGGATTTCATAAACTTCAATACTTGTAACATCAATATCATTCAATACATCAGTAGTATCGGAATTATTGCTAGCAATAATATCATTGCGAGAAACATTAGAGTTAAAATTGTTAAAATTTTTGTGAAAAATTTCTGCAAAAAGTTCTGCTTTTTCAGAATTCTCTATATAGACTTTATCCTCATATAATATAACTGGTATATCTCTATTGTTTTTATAAACTTTGTTAACATATTTATAAACATTAAGTGGATTATTTGAAATGATTTTGTTTTGTTGTTTACTAATAAAATTTTTTATAGCGATTCTAATATATAGAGATATACTGTCATATTTTGATTTATATTCCTTATTAATTTTTTGTAACCTGTATAATCTCTTTTTCTCAGCTATAGAAGCTTTTAAGTGAGCGGGATATTTTATTCTTCGATCTTTTTTAGTTATAATTTGTTCAGGGATGAAAATGTCAAATGAATTTAATATTGACTTAGCAATTATATTATATTTGTCCCCAATTAGAAACCCAGTATAAATAGTATTTTTTAATAATAGGGACAAATATGGGTTTAAATTGCTTATTTTATTCTTATTATAAAATCTTTTTTTTATTCTATTCTCATTTTGTTTACTTATTGGACAATTAATATCAAATAATAATGTTTCATGATCTGAAGAGAAGATTCCTCCTTCAACTAAAACGTTTGATACTAAATTCTGGTTTGTAATTAATATCAAATCTAAGAATGAATTATTTCTAGAAGGCTCGTGTGTGACTGATGTTAAAGTGTTTCTATTAAAAAAATCGATAAAACATTCACCTAATTTAGATTTTGCATAAGGTGTAAAATTAAACCAGCTCAAATCTTTAAACCCAAAGTTGAGGTCACCGAGGATTATACAATTTTCGGTACAAAGAGTTTCGATGTATTTAAAAAGAGATTTTGTACTAGCGTAGCTAGTGTTAGGTGGACGGTAAAGTAATATTATATTTAATCTCTTAAAATTGTTTATTTGTAGACAAATAATTTCTGTGTTGAATTTGGATATTTTTACTTTTTCATAAAATGTAATATTTTTACTTAATAGTATCGCGCATCCCCCACCTAGTTTGGATTTCCTATTAATATAAACAATATTATAATATTCTGAAAATTTGAACTCAAATAAATTTATGTCCTCATCTTTCAACCATGTTTCAGTAATAAACAGCATTTCTAAACCTAGTGTTCTTAAACTAATTAAAAACTCATCCATTTTATTTCTAATTGATCTTATATTTATCAAACCACTTTTTATTTTATTTTTTGAAAAATTTTTATTTTTAGTCAACTGGTAGGTATCAAAGTGGCCATCCCTTACTCCTTATGCATTGTGGCAAACACATTTAAAATTATTGGGGTTTGATTTAAATAAAGGGATGTCCTTAGCGGACAGGACATGGTCAGCATAAATAACATGATCGGAGTTGGGATTTTGGGAATGCAAAGTTTTACAAATTTCAATAAGCCTAGACCGTTCGGCTCGCTGAGCCTTAGACAAAGATTTACGAACAAATAACTTATTAAATTTAGAATTTTTTAATTTTGATTTATTCAATAAAAATTTTCTTGCAAAAAACCTGGTTGGTAATTCCACCTTCAAAAGTCGCGGTCTTCCAGAAATTGTTCCCATTCTGTAAACTTGACTTGGTCTGCATTCCACATCGCATAAATCAAGAATTTCTTTGACTTGTTCAAAATCTTCTTCCACACGCTCCTTTGCATGTTCACAATTGCTTTCAGGTAGATTGGTGATCACGATTGCTTTTTGTTGTTTTTCTTCTTCAATGAGATCCAGGAGAGTGTCACGCATTTGAAGTTTTTGAATAGTTTGTTGTTGTTCCATAATTAAATTTTGCTGTTGAGCCATTTGAGTCAATAATGTGGTGCAAAATTGAAACATTTGCTGCATTGTTGTCGTATTATCGGTTCCACTGTTGCTTTCCATTTGTTTACCAATTGCTGCTAATTGATTAGCAAGTTGGGTAAAGGTGTCAGAAGAAGACATTTTTTGCTTTTGGCTGTCAAATTGCACTGGAGAGAAATGAACTGCGTTACGTTTCACACCAGGCATGCAAGTCTGAAAAACAGCAAAAATAAATTATAGAAAATTTGATTTTAAGATTATTTTAGTCTTAAACTCATTTAATTTACAGGCTATCCGACAGAGTATCACTGAAAAGAAAAATGTGGTACTCAAGCTCGAACGGGATGCCCCTCCACTGAAGCTGATCTCGACCGCAGCCGAGGACGTGTGTGAAATACTTACGCGCGCTAAAGGCTTCTGGAATAAGCGGTGTAAGCTCATTCCAATTGAGGAGGAAGAACCACGGAAGCCGAAGAGAGGTACTCGAATAAGTGAAAAGGAGTCTTTGGGTAATTCTTTAATTTTCAGTATATCACGTGCCTGACGTTGAGTCCGAGCCATTTCCGGTTGATGATACGGGAAAGAAACTGGTTGCAACACCGAGTCGGGATGGTGGGACGCGCACTGAAGAACCGGTGGAGACGGCCGAGGAGGAACCTGCCACAGAGGGGGAAGAATTCTAAAGAGATAAAAATGAACTGAATATAATATCTAAACTCATATTTTCCTTTGTTGTTATCTTGCATTCATTTATATGTTGCATATTTCCTAAATTTCCTTGTGTGTAATATGTACATATGTCTCATAATATATTCTATTAGATTTGTTGTAAATTTGTTTTGTATGTAAATTTGATTTTCGAATAATTTTTTGTTCCTCGTTGGGGAAGCTTTTTGTGACAATGCAAGGGAAAAAGATAAACGGGCACAACTTTGTTCACTTAAGACAGTTTTCGTTGATTTTAATGTCAATTGACGAAGGAAAATTAGGAAAAATAGAAAGGAAAAAAGTGGGGGCAACTTCCAAACTTACCCCCTATATGGACTCGAACCTAACTTCGCCAAACGATCAAAAAAAATAAAAAAAATCACTAAAAAATCACTTATTTGTAGGAAAGAAATATCTACCTATATGTATTTTCAACTTTTCTATTTTGAGAAAAATATGTCGATAACAGGTATTTTGGTAACAAAAATCTTCGAAAATTCCCAAAAGAGTTCATCTTTAGAGGTGTATGTTTTAACCCTGACCTCGATTCGGGGTTTTGGATCGGGGTTTGTCGTGTTGGAGCCTTCGAAATTCGGGTCGGGGGTTTTGCCAAAAAAAATTCGTCGGGGTTTCGGAGGTCGGGGGGTTGTTACTTTAATTTTAATTAAAGCCCAAATGTATTCAAAATTTTAAAGGACACAAAAACTGATTAATCTTCATTTACATCAAATAAAGGCGATTTAAATTTAGTCAAAATTTCCCAATTAATTTCTTTAAAAAATTCATTTTCTTTAATTTTCAGTCCATTAATTCTTTTATTTTTATTTAAAATTAAAATTTGTTCAATTAAATATTTTGCTTCTTCTGAAGGGAAATTTGAAGGAAATTTAAAATTTAATTTTAATATTTGCTGAAATAAAAGAAATTCTGTTTCTCCATTAAATGGACGTTGACCAGATAATAATTCGAATAAAATTATTCCAAAAGACCTTTTTTTTAAATTAAATTTAAAGAGAAAAAAGGAAATACTCTGTTCCAAAATCATAACCGCAACCCTATTTTTCTCAATATTTCATGTCCCAATCAATTCTTCTAAAAAATGTGTTTTTAATAAGATGTTTAATACGGAAACAGACCTTTGAGAAATAATGAGCTTAGAGGCTATATTTTTTGGAGCGTTTGAGTTCATATATGATTTTAAAAAAGGATCATGGAGGGCGGTTGTAATTTTGGAACAGAATGTAGAATCTCTTTCCTTACCACCAATCACAAGCTGGAGTTGACGGCTCTCCATTAAGCATCTAATATAAAAATGTTAAAAATTAAAAGGATGGGTACTTCATACAAACTCGTAAAAGTTGAAAATAAACCTCAGGACTGACGTATTGAGCAGTTCCAACAAAAGAACAACGCCTTTTCTCTTTACTTCGCCTCCTTTCTTCTGGTGATTGTTGTGATTCTTCTACATCTTTGTTTGTATTAATATTATTATTCTCGTTTGAATTGGTACTTTCATCAATTAATTTAGCACAACCAAAATCAGAGAGGAGAATATGGCCATTTTTACGAAGCAAAATATTTTCTAAAAAATTAGAAATAATGGGGGGGGGGGTTGAATATTTAAATGTAGTAGGTGATGTGAGATTCTCTTTATACTCCGAAAAGTCTGAAATCTGATTCGCATCATAATAATTTTTTAAAAGAATTATTTTTTAAAAATTATGTCTGATTGTTGGAAAGCTTATTAGTAAAATAATTTCTAAAAAATTTAAAAGTAGAAAGAGAACCACGACATAAGCCTAGCCTATAAATAATTCCACCTATAAATTTTAAAAACAAAATCATAATTAAAATGCCATCCCCCCTTCCTAATTCTTTCCACCCTTTCAATAAAAATACATTTAGAAAAATTCCCTTACCAGGTTTAACATCTCTGTGTACAACATTTAATCCATGAATGTGTAACAAAGCTGAACAAAGTTCAGCCATCACAAAGCGAGTCTTTTCCAAGTCTAAACACCCACCAGAAGCTTTTAACCTTGCCAACAAATCTTTTTTCTCTGCCAAAGTTAACACAAAATAGAGACAATCAGAATCTTGAAATGTGCAGTAAAGGCGGGTAATGAAGAGATGTGAATGTTCGGGGGTTGAAAGAAGGCGAAGAATATCACGTTCTCGAAATATTTGGTGAACCTTAAAAGTTTTATTGAAATTTTTTAACTGAAAATTTGACAAAATTCAATTTTTTTCCCCACTTTTTTTCCTTCCCAAAGTATTAATTGGCTAGATGTTGTTTCCTTTCTCAACCTAATTTTATTTCCCTATGGCATACAATCAGTTTACCGAAAATTTAAATATCTGGGATATTTTGTAAGAAAATTTTGCCTCAAAAAATTTTCTCAACGAGCTTTTAACAATAATTTCTCACTGAAATAAATTCGTTAGAAAATCTTAAAGTCACCAATGGGGAAAATTATCAAACTAAACAAATCAAACAAATAAAATATACCTTCTTTTCTCGTTGAATTTTCCTTTTTGAACAAACTTTAATTGCAAATTTATTGCTAGTCGTCTTTTCTGATGATAAATAAACTGTAGAATATGAACCTAAATTTATTTTATAAAATAAAAATTAAAAAGAAAAACCTTCCCCAAGTTCAGCCAAAATATAAAAATCATCCTTTTTTCGAGGAGTTGTAATTGTTTCTGATAAATTATTTACTAAAGAATTAGTTTCTGTATTAATTTCTTCCATATTTTAACTAAAAAAGAAGAGAAAAAAAAAGAAAATATTAAGCCAAAAATTATTAAAAATTGATGTTTTTTAGCTAAGACTTTTTTGTCATTCATTCAAAAATTGGAGTTTCTGCTTAATTTTGTAGAGAATTTAATTCTCTATAAAATAGTACTAAAATCTTAGAAAATGATTAAAAACTCTTTGAGTTATAATAAAAAGAAAGAAGCTTATCCGCTTTATCAAAAAAGGATTTCCGCAAGGGATAAATTGTCATTTTTCATTTTAAATGAACACAATGCCAAAAATAGTTTACTTTTAAATTTCTAATTATTAAAATTTTTTATTTTTGTATTTACTTTGTGTTTTTTTCATTTTTCAATTTAACGAGCGTTAGGACGCGCTTCGCGCGTCCTAACGCTCGTACAATACCTTGTAATTCTTACTATATCAACCTCACACTTTGGCTGACTCAAATCCCCAACATCTCACTCGTTTCTGGACTCTTCTCATCAATTGATGTGAAGATTCTCTTGCTCAAGCCCTAATCCCTAATATTACCCTTTATTCTTTAATCATTTGATATCCTCTTAAACACCACCAAATCCCAGAATCACCTTCAGCGCCCAACTCATATGAAATCGCTATTAATCACACTTAAATCATAGATCTTTATTCTTTATTCCCAAAATCCTCCGATATCCCTCTTTACTACCATTCTCTTAATCATCACTCTTTTAATCACCACCAACTAATCACCCTCAATCCTCTAATATGCCCTTAATCACCCCAAAATCCCGGAATCACCCATTAGACTCTATTCTTATGAAATATCTCTTATCCGCTCGTCACAGTTATCACCCTTTATCTTCAAAAATCTGGCATATTCCTCTTAACCACCGTCCTGTTAATCCCCTCCCTAATGTTCTGATATCTCTCTTAACCATCCCCCAAAACATAGATATCACCATTTATCCCCAAAAACTCAGATATTACCCATTAAGCCCCAAAACAGCTATATTTCTACTTTACACTCCAAAATCTCTGATATTATTCTTTAGCCCCGTAATCCTCTGATATCCCTCTTAATCACCCCAAATCCCCTGATATATCACCATAGGAAATTTTTTTTCATACTCCCTAGTTATTCCATTTATCTCACAAAACCTAGATATTAACCAAAAGTCCCCAAATCCACTGTCATCCCTCTTAATCACACCCAAACCCTAAATATCACCCTTTTTCACCATAACCCTTTTTCTCCAAATCATCTGATATCTCACTTAAACACCACCAAATCTCATACATCACCCTTTGCCAACCCTCAAGTTAAACGACTTTAATCCTCACATTTATCTCGCTTCATTCCTCTGATATAGGTCTTTAATCAACTCCCCCACCTCTCAAACGCGCTAAATCATTTCTTACTAACATGCTTTATCTGCTATACCGTTTAATCTCCCAAATCCTCCGATTCACTAATCCCCTCAAATCACAAAATATGCCTGTTAATTACTTCTCCGATACCCCTAATAAGACAAATTTCACTTTTCAAACTTTATTTTCATAGAAAATACCCCTTTTTCCCATCAAAACATTTGATATCACCCTTTATCACGAAACCCCTAATATCCCTGAGCCGAAAAGTGCGTTACCACTCTTAATCCTATGTTATTCTTCTTAATCCCCTATTATTTGAAAACGCATTTTATTCTCCAAAATACAAATATCGCCCATTATCCTCCCAAAACACCCAAAACTCTATTTCCAAACTCACGGATATCACCATTAACACTTGATCCATCTTATTCATATCAAAACCCCAAATATCACTCATTATTTTTCAAGTCGCAAATATCCCTTTTTTTCAAAATCCCAGATATCGCCCTATATCTCCCATAAACTACTCTATATCACTTTTAGTCTCCCAAATCCTCCGATATCCCTTTTTAATTCGTAAATCCGCGATATCCCTCCTATTTATCCCAAATCAACCTATATTACTCAATTCCCATATCCTCAATTACCTATTTTTATCCCTTCAGCGATATCTTCCTAAATTCTTTGATATACACGTAACCATAAATACCCTTCAATCTTATAGTCATATAAGATTGAAGATATCCTTTAATATATTTTTATTTTTAATATTATTTTTATATTTTTAATTTTTATTTTTAATATATATCTTATCTTTAATATTTATCCTCAATATCCTTCCAGTTAAACTAATCTAACCCTCACATTAAATTCGCCTAAACTCACGATATATCTTTTTATTCATCAAATACCCGATATCCCTCTTAATCACACCAAATCCTGGATATCCCTCTTAATTACCAAATCTTTCTCATTATTTCTCGAAATCCTTCCAATTACTTCCTCTTATTTGCCTCTTAATCCCTTAGTCTCCAATGATTATGTTTCATAGGCTTTCACTCATTTTTTTTATTTTTGTGTTGCGTATCACTCTAATCCTCGAAAGCCTTCTTAATTACCCTAATCCCCGATATCTTTTTTATCCTTTGATAATAATCTTTTCCCAATATCCCCAAAATCATATCTTAATCCACATCCCCCAATATCAATTTTAAGCCCACAAAACTATTGATATTCTCCAATCACACATCAGATCACTAATAGCTGTTCTTGTATATAATAGCTGTTCCCCAAAAAAACCGTATAGCTCCCCAATATCCGTCGTAATGTTCGAAATCCCCCAAAACCCTTCATAAAATCCGTATTTATCATGTTTGTAACTAAAAAATCCCCTATATATCCCACTTTATATCTCAAATCCTCCATATCTTCGCAGAACATATGTTTTTAATATAAATCCCTCGATATCAATTCTAAGTACCGATATTCTCTTTAACACCCTCACTCGTAATTTCCCAAAATAGTCTGTATCTCTATTAACTCTTCTTTGTTTCTCACACTTTTTTCTTCCAAACTCTGATATCCCTATTAATCCTCAAAATCCGCCATACATTTGCTTAAGTCACAATATTCCCTTAATTTCCCGCAATCCACGATATCCCTTTTATCACACGCTTACCATCTTAATACGCACATCCCCGATGTTCTTTACAATCCTCAAACCCCCATACTTCAATCTGCATAAACTACCAAATCACATTTCACTTCTGATATACACTTAATCCTCTACAAATCTACCGTTAACTTTATTATCCTAATTCACCTTCATCTCTTCAAATGTATTCAATTAATCATCAAACACCCTTTAATAATTTTTAATTTTATTTTTTTAATCCTTAAATCCTCAATATCCCTATTTGGCTCTAAACATTTGCTTCATGTTTGCGGCTAAAAGGCTGTGATTTATTTTAAAAATTACTGCTTGCGAATAAAAGGCAGACGGCTGGTACTGCCGCGTCTAAATGGCAGATGGCTGGTTGTTTTTGTTTACACTTTACTTTTTCATTAAAAATTAGAGAAAAACAAATTTTTCTCTCTTATTTTTTTTCAAAGAAAAATTTTCGTGTCAAAACAAATTCTGTTTTTCTTTTTAAAAAACGGCAAAAAGCGTGACGGAAAGTGTGAAATTATATAGTTAACGAGCGTTAGGACGCCGCTTCGCGGCGTCCTAACGCTCGTAAATCACCTAATTTTTCCAGACAAAACTTAACCATTGCAGGATCACCAAAATTTATAACTAAAATCCATGATAATATCCTTTAGTATGATCTGATATCCATCTTAACCTCCCTAAATCAAAGATACACACTTTATCGCCAAAATCATTTCCCGTCACCATCTTAATACCAACCCAAATCCTTTGAAATGTCATTTATTACACAATCAATCTCAGTTTTCACCATTTATCCATCAAACTCACAAATCCATTGGTATCCCTCAAATCACCCCCAAATTCCAGATATCACTAATACCCTATGTTATTCCTCTACAAAGCCCGAATTCTGAGAATCACCTATAGCCCTCAAAACATATTAAATACCTCTTAATCAAACAGTCACAGATATCAGAATTTATCCTGGAAATCCTCAGAGATCTCTTTTAACATTATACTCTTAATCACATCCAAAATCTTCTGGTATACCTCTTAAGCGCCACAAACCGTTTATCTCCTAACTCTCTGATTTTACCCTCACACAAATCCGCTAATATCTATCTTAATCGCCTCCCAGATATCACACTCTATAATCCAAAACCCCACATTTTCTTTCATATTCATCATCTTAATCATCTCAAATCCTCTTCCAGATATCCTCAAAAACCCGGATACAAAAGAATTCAAGTCCTCTATTATCCCTCTTTTTCATCTTTTATTCTCAAAAGTCTCTGATACATATTTCTCTTATCACTCTCTAACCTCTTTTTCGAAATCTTCTGATCCTCAAACACCCTTTAGGCTTTTTCCTAAAATCACAGATATTATCCTTTACCCCAAAAACCTTTGTTACCCTCTTAAAACATGTATATAAATTCTCTGATATCTCTCTTAATCCCCTTCCCCACCCAAAATACCACATATTCCTTTTTATCACTCCAAATCCTCTTATATACGTCTTTAACACCCCCACCCTCCACACTCCTTACTCCAAAACCCATTCTACCACCCTATATCCTCCAGGAAACTAATGCAATTCCAACTCAATTCTAAAGCTTCTGTTTCACTACTCCTTTTAGATAATTTTATAGCTCCCTTAAAAACTCAATTCTTCGATTAACTATTATTCCTCCAAATTACCCTTTTCACTTTTCGCTTAACATTGTTCTTTTTCGACTAAAACTTGATGTCACTTTTTATTCCCCTGAAGTTCCAGCTGTCAACCTTGATTTCCCTAGATCCCCTCATATCTTTTTTTGTATTTCCCAAAATTCCAGATACCAACCATTATCCTCCCAAAACAATCATGATAATCTTTATTCCCTAACTCGCTGATATCATTTTTTTAACAAAACCTTAATCATCGATTAGTTCACGTTCCAAGCCAGCTGATATCCTTACTAATACCAAACTCCTCAATTCGAACTAC